ATGCTTAATTGCTCGTTGTTATCAAATATTTCTCCTCCCCTTCCCCTCTCTATAGAGTAAATGAAGAATTTTGGAAAGTAAACTAAATGCAAGTTATATGATAGAGACTTATTGTAGCAGAGTTGGTCTTCACTCTACTTGGTCTTTACTATTTATCTTTCCCCGTGGAGTTTTTGAGCTAAATTTTTTATGTAATCACCAAACAGTTTTTAACCTTTTTTTTTAGTTCTTTTTTTAGCTTTAGCTTAAAAGTAGCTTTTATCTTAAAAAATATGATCCAAACAAGTTCTTAATATAAGAATCATGTATGCACGGTATATCATTTGAAACATAACCAATAGCACATGATACGTACCTCCAGAACCTCAAATAATAAGAAAATCCACATACAGGTAATACAAGCTGTTATTATTTATAAATACCATTTTTCCAACATCGATACTGTTGTCATATTCATATGCTCATAAGGCTAAGGTGCTTACTTTAAATTTTCCGTTCTGGGATGGAATAGATTCCCTATACATCCGAATCGATTCCTATTATTTCCAGTCAGCAAGGAATCGATTCCCTCAGTAATCAGAGGCACTTCAAGCACGAATTCAAGGGTCTTTCGTGCATAACTCTTTTCATCCACTGGTTTACTTCAATTCATTACCAATTTCTACATACACAACCACATATTCTTTCATATTTCACACTTTTGACCAACTTCCATTGCATGTAATCAACATTTGCATGTATGAATGCAAATTATTCCAGGAATGTTAACTATGAAAGAAGGGGGTTTTAGTCACACAAATTCACCACCACAGAAACATGCTTATTTAAGAATTTAAATGGGGTGTTTTGAGCTCCCAAAAGTTACCTCAAACTCTACAAATGCTAAGCTTGTGTACTGAATCGCAACCACACCTTCACCTTCCTTAGACAGCTTCTGTCATATAAATCTCAGCTTCTACTTGAAAGGTGAAAAGAGAAACGAATTTTATTTGTTTGAAAGGTGAAGAAACAGAGAAAAGAGGGAGAGTTTTTTGAGGTGGAAAGATTTGCTTAAAAGAGTTTTATTTGTTTTGGAGTCATTATTATGTAAATAATTTAAGCGAATAAGGTTATTATGTTGTAAGAAATAATTTTATCTATTAATCAGACATCAAAATATGTAGATCCACATTTTTTTTATTTAATTTTTTGATATATGAAAAAAGACTAAAATACACATCACCTAACAGTCTAACACAATTATCTACACCTCTTATAATTAGGCTAATCTTAGAAAGATAAAAGAAATACTAATATTATAATTTAATAGTACTTTATGAATTTGGAATGTTAAATTGAATTAAATAAATCATTCAATTATGGGATGTCACAACTCACAACCCTTCCATTTTCCAACGCTTTGTAATTCTTATCCACTACGGTATCTATCTATACAAAGTTGAGGCACTGGACTTTGATGAGTCTTTCCGGCTTTTCAAGTTGAATGCCTTTGAACATAATCATATTGACATAGAATACTATGAACTGTCTAAGAGCATGGTCGATTATGCCAAAGGCGTTCCAGTAGTTCTTAAAGTCTTGGGTCATCTTCTTCGTGGAAAAGATAAAGAAATATGGGAAAGCCAATCAAAAAGGCTCAAAAAAGTGCCCAATAAAAAGGTTCATGATGTTATTAAGATTAGCATTGATGAGGATCTTGATCATGATGAGAAGAAGATATTTTTGGATATTGCATGTTTTTTCGATGGATTGAATTTGAATGTTGACAAAATAAAACTTCTATTAAAGGATCGTGATTATTCTGTTGCTGCTGCGTTAGAAAGGTTAAAAGATAAAGCTCTTATAACTATTTCTCAAAAGAATATTGTATCCATGCATAACATTATACAAGAAACAGCTTGGGAGATGGTTCGCCAAGAATCTATTGAAGACCCCGGACACCGAAGTCGACTGTTGGATACTGATGACATTTATCAAGTACTGAAAAATAACAAGGTAAAATCCCTAAGTTACAAAAATGTATCTTATTTTTTGTAGGAACAGCGAGTTATAAGATGTTTGAAAATTTTCTACTACTTTGGTGGCAGGGGAGTGAGGCCATCAGAAGCATAGTCCTCAACTCGTCGATGATTAAGGAGCTGCAGTTAAGCCCTCAAGTATTTGCTAAGATGAGCAAACTACAATTTCTTGATTTGTATTGTGATTGGCCTTATAAAGTGTTGTATCTTCCTCAAGGGCTTGAATCTTTGCCAAATGAACTACGATATCTTCGGTGGGCTTCCTACCCTTTGGAATCCTTGCCATCCAAGTTTTCTGCGGAAAATCTTGTTGAATTGAACTTGCCCTACAGCCGAGTGAAAAAACTTTGGCACCAAGTGCAGGTAAATAATACATGTGTGCATTTGCATTCTAAGGAATACAAATAAACAACTTCCATTAGCTCATGCTTTTGTTTAATTTGTTACAGGAACTTGAGAATTTAAACACCCTCGTACTGCATTCATCCACAAGCCTGCTGGAACTGCCAGACTTTTCAAAGGCCACAAATCTTAAAGTCATAGATCTCCGTTTTTGTCTAGAGCTGACTAGTGTGCATCCATCCGTTTTCTCTCTCAACAAGCTTGAGAAATTGGATCTAGGTGGATGCATTTCCCTTTCAACCCTTGGAAGCAATATCCATCTGAGCTCCCTTCGTTTTCTCTCCCTCAATGGCACGGGTATCAAACAACTACCCTCCTCTATTGAACTTCAAAGCAAACTTCAAAAGCTAAATCTAGCATGCACTTACATTGAGAACTTGCCTACAAGCATCAAGCATCTTACAAAGCTTCGACATCTAGATATTCGCCACTGTAGCGAGCTTCCGACTATACCTGAGCTTCCCCCATCACTTGAAATACTAGATGCCAGTGGCTGCATATCACTGGAGAGTGTGTTGTTCCCTTCAACCACTAGTGAACAACTGAATGAAAACAAGAAAAGGGTAGCCTTCTGGAATTGCTTGAAATTGGATGAACATTCTCTCAGGGCTATTGAGCTGAATGCGCAAGTTAACATGATGAAATTTGCATTCCAACATTTATCCACATTTGGTCGTGATTATGATGCTCAAATCACTAATGTGTATCAGGGAAGCAGAGTTTTGTTGTATGGGAACACAACACGTGACTTCCTATGCATCGATTTCTGTTTTACTCCGCAGTCCCTTCAGTTGAGCTACATTTTGGATGAACACCCTGTCAGTGCTATCAGGCTGAATGCCCTTGCACACCAACATTTATCCACAATTGGTCGCAGTAATGCTGCTCAAAGCACTTATGTGTATCCGGGAAGCAAAGTTCCAGAGTGGCTGGTGTATGGGACAACACAAGACTCCCTAACTATTGATCTCTCTTTTGGTCCGCAGTCCCCTGAGATGGGCTTCATTTTTTGCTTCGTAGTTCCGCAGGTTCAATCAGAGGGTTTGTTTTTTAAATTTAAGATCAGTGTTGGTGAAGATGAAGGTAACACTGTGTACCTGGACAGACCACGTCATGGAATTATATCGGATCATGTGTATCTAATGTATGACCAAGGATGTTCCAGCTACCTGAATAGCCAAGCCAAACATCAGCCAAGGTTTAAAATCAAGGTTACAGCAGCATCGCGAACACTGACATCACAGTACGTGCCATTGCTGTTAAGAGGGTTTGGGGTCAGCCCAGTAGATGCCTCACAATATCTCAGTTTTCTTCAACAAATATTTGAATGATAGTGTTGAGATATATAGTCCCACATTAATTGTGTGAGCAACTAATGTGGCCTTTATAAGGCCTTGGACACTTAACCCTTTGAGCTAGCTTTTGGAGTGGTGTATCCCAAGGTTCTTTACAGATAGTACTATTCCAACGGTATGTCCCCTTCTCGAAGGTTCACTCTCTTTCTCTCTCTATCTGCTACTACTTGATCTTCACTGCTTAGCTTTCACCTTAGAGACTGGTTTCTTAATTTTTGTCAGTACCAATTTTTACCTTCATCCACTTTGATTTGATATCATGATGGTGAATTCTAGGAGTAGTTCACGAGATTGCTTTGTTACGGGTTCATTGAATTGGGGAACTGTTTGTAGGATATATATTGTTATTCATTATGTACGATTATCTAACATTGGAAATGTGCAGAAAATTCTTTTTTCCTCTTCTCTATCCTTGCAATGTAATGCCTAGTCATCATTGTTCCCTTTAATATTTTTGTACCTCTTGTTTTCAAATCATTGTTACTCAAATATTTCTCCTCCCTTCCCCTCTCTATAGAGTAAAATGAAGAACAATTTTGGAAAGTAAACTAAATGCAAGTTATATGATAGAGACTTACTGTAGCATAGTTGGTCTTCACTCTACTTGGTCTTTACTATTTATCTTTCACTGTAGAGCTTTTAAATAACTTTTTAAGCTAAAAAATTTATGTAATTATCAAATAGCTTTTAATTTTTTTTTATCTTGAGCTTAAATGTAACTTTTATCTTAAAAAAAATGATCCAAACATGCTCTTAATATAAGAATCATGTATGCACGGTATATCATTTGAAACATAACCAATAGCACATGATACGTACCTCCAGAGCCTCAAATAATAAGAAAATCCACATACAGGTAATATAAGCTGTTATTATGTATAAATATCATTTTTCCAACATCGATACTGTTAACATATTCATATGCTCATAAGGCTAAGGTCCTTACTTTAAATTTTCAGTTCTGTTTGGCCAACTCATAAGACTCAATTTGGCAAGTGTAAATTCTGGTTGAGTTTAGAGTTTAAAGAAAACACAACATTGTTGTATCTTTTGGGCATTATAGGCCCTTGAAGGTGATAAAGTGTGTATGATCTGAAGTTTAGGATTGAAGAACAGGAATGCAAAATTTGGAGGCTGGGAATAGATTCCCTATACATCCGAAGCGATTCCTATTATTTCCAGTCAGCAAGGAATCTATTCCTTCTGTAATCAGAGGCACTTCAAGCACGAATTCAAGGGGCTTTCGTGCATAACCCTTTTCATCCACTGGTTTACTTCAATTCATTACCAATTTCTACATACACAACCACATATTCTTCATATTTCACACTTTTAACCAACTTCCATTGCATGTAATCAACATTTACATATACGAATGCAAATTATTCCAGGAATGTTAACTATGAAAGAAGGGGATTTAAGTCACACAAATTCACCACCATATAAACATGCTTAGTTAAGAATTTAAATGGGGTGTTTTGAGCTCCCAAAAGTTACCTCAAACTCTACAAATGCTAAAATTGTGTACTGAATCGCAACCACACCTTCCCCTTCCATAGACAGCTTCTGTTATATAAATCTCAGCTTCTCCTTGAAATGTGAAAAGAGAAAAGATTTTTATTTGTTTGAAAGGTGAAGAAACAGAGAAAAGAGAGGTGCAGTTTTTTGAGCTGGAAAGATTTGCTTAAAAGAGTTTTATTTGTTTTGGAGTCATTATTATGTAAATTAATTAAGGGAATAATGATTATAATGTTGTAGGAGATAAAACAACTAATATTTGCCATAACCTGTCATGTGAAAGAGTCTAATCTCTCTGAAACGATCTCAATTATTCTTAGACAAAACAACTAATATTCTTTTTGTCATTCTTAACGTTATGAATTTAATATTTAGTAGATAATTTTATGTTTAAAAAAATAGGAAAAAGTAAAAAAAGAAAATTGAATATGAAAATTAGATAATATATACTTTTTAGATAATATTATAATTTATTAAATAATAGAAATATATATTATTCGTAATATAATCTTTTTGTTTAAAATTATTTTTGCCAATGTATACATATAGATACTCATTAATTATTCAGAAACTTTTTTTTTTTTTATAACAATTATTCAGAAACTTTTAACTTTACTGATTTGTATAATCAAATCATAAGTCCCAGTTAAACTTGTTTATTTAATAAAACAATCAAATTTAGCTAAACACTTAGAACAATTCATGAATGGATACATTGTAAGAAATTTCATAAAATAGGATTATATGAGTTAGTGGGGTTGGATATGTGTTCGATTACCGCTGAATGCATTCTTGGGGAGGGGGCTGAACATTTAGCCATCACTGTTCCCCCGCACTCCGGATTAGTCCCATAGCCGGCTCAAAGAGTCGAAGCTCGTGGGGATACCGGAGGGAGCCAACTCGTCTCAAAGAGATAATTAGGGTTGGGTAACTCCAAAAAAAAAAAAGAACACCAAAAGATTTAGACTTACTTGTTAAAAACATTATTCTTGATTTCTTGAAGACTTCTTGTTTCCTCTTATGCTCCTGTAATGGAAAGATTTGGATTAAAAAAATTGTCCAGTATTGGTTCAGTCCTTATCAGTATTTGTTCCTTCGTTTATATAAAAACTAGTGAATTACCCGTGCGATCCCCGGGCAAAAAAGAATAAAATTGCTGTCGTCGTCGTTGGTTTGTCGTCTTACGGGTAAATCCACACGTTGATCTTGATATCAAGCTCTTAACAATAATATGGTAATAAAAAATAATTGTATTGTGTGCTAATTTGAACTTCAAAAGGCTGTAGCATTGACAAAGAAAAAAAAGAAAAATAAAATTCTGTAGGATTCGCACGTTTAATTGTATCGATTAACCTTCACCTACAATTGCAAAAGTGATAAAATTTATTCTTCTTAAGGGTGAACATAAAGTGACGAATCTTATACTATTTTGTAGGAAACATGCCTAGTTGGTTTAAGTTTGAAAACAACATTATGTGTTAAAGGCATTATTTCATAAAATACTATAAAGAAGCAACACTAAATACAATAACACTATTTTGCATGACAACAAAAATAAAAATTTGAAAACCTAGTACATCCATTAATTATGAACAACACCAAAAAAACATAAACCCTGTATATTACAAAATTCATTTATTTCATTATCTGCAGCACAATATTCACATGTAATATCATTATTACCGTCATCTTCGTCTCGGTCCAATTGTAATGGTTTGTTTGAAACCTTTTCATGGTTGCATCTGCTGGAATTGCACCAAGATTTGTCATGATTTTGAACAGGATGTTTACGCACCCACAAACTTCGGATAACAGATTTGATGCACTCTTTGATTTGATTGAACTCAGTCATCTTTAACCAAACAGTCATGTATGAGTCATATTTTTTGCTTACATTGGAACAAATGTGTTTAAACAGCATCAAATCAATACACATGCTGAAAACTTGAAACAATATAAAGAACCCACAATGATAAATTTTTAAAAAACAACAACATACATTCGGGTCCACCAAAGACTTAAACAATGAGGTGACAATAGCTTCGCCGCTTCAAACACTTGAAACTTGATATCTTGGCTCATTATATGACTCCAAATTGTTTTTTTTTTACGTTGACCTTAAATAACATGGATTTTTCATTAAGAACATTAAGTTCTCTTGGATAATGTTCCAATTCAGCACCCTACAAAAAAAACTCCTTCAAAATTAAGTATAACTCGTGCGATGAACGGGAAAAAAAGAAATCTGTTTGTCTGTCTCGTAAAAGTTAATGCAAATCATAAAAATATATCGCTGCATTTTATTTAAATCAATATTGTTAGCTACCTAACTCTAACTTTTTGTACATATAGAGTTAACAAATTTTTGAGTTATTATGTTTAATATAAAAGAAGAAGAGCAAAACTTTAATTTAATTACAAAAAATTATTGGCGGGCCAGTCCTCCGGACCGACTCCACTTTGCAACCTCTAATTGTCAGCATTATATACCAGCATGTAATAAGTTTTTATATTTATCCACACGAAAAGTTCTTATATTTGCATCTAAGTTTTTATATTTTATCTCAGAGATGTGTTGGACAAGTGGCTTCAATACTCAAGAGGGGGGTGAATTGAGTTTTACAAAATCTTTTCGCAAAGTACCTCCTTTAATATTTTAAAGATTATTTCTTCAATAAAGTGATTTAATAGGGAAAAATCTAAGTGTAAGAGCAAATGCAGTGATCAACAAAGTAAGCAAGCGAATACATAAAGATAATCTAAAATGCAATTTTAATACTTAAATAAAGAGATTAAGGTTAGAGAAATTGCAAACTAGATGTATCCTGGTTCGGTCACCACCACCGTGACCTACGTCCAGACTGAAGCCGCTCGATCAATTCTTTTTACTAACTATCAAGCTTGAGGGTGCTTGACAAACCACTACAACCTTTCAAGACTTCGGACGCTTGATGCCTTACACTTTTTCACTCCAAATTTTCTTAGGAATTTGGTGACCTTTCAAGTGTATAGGGTTCACTCCCCTAACTATTCAAGAAATCAAATGGAGGTGTTTAAGCAATAGCTAAGTACTCTCAAAGTACAAATAATACAAGTTAAAGAACTATGGGTGTTGACACTCTCACAAGAATAAAGCTCAAGAATAATTTATGATCAAGATGATAGAAAATAAGCAAATGATGTGAAATAAAGTAAGGATTATGATCAAGAAGTGTGTCACATTAAGGGGAACAGTGGTCACTATTTATATAGGCCCCTCATGACCCTTTGCACACTCATTTTCGCAAAACTAGTCGTTTCTGACCGTTATTTCCGTCCTCTGGTGCAGAAGGAATCGATTCCCTATGAGTGGGAATTGATTCCCAACCTTTCAGATGAGGGGGAATCGATTCTTTATAACAGGGAATCGATTCCCAACCTTCTAAAAGGTTGGAAATGCGTTTAAAAAATGTTCTATGACCTTTTCAAATATGTTTATATGAATGTGTAATGTTATAAATCCTCTGTGTAATCAAATGGTAATTTAATGCATGTATTTTAGCAAAAATACGTTTGAGCTTATTTATGCAAGAAGTCAATTACCCTCACAATGAATTCTAAGTCCTAAAATATATTACTTGATAATTCTTGGACTTAGATTCTTCTCTTGAAGGACTTCATGATCGTTGGATGTTTGTTTCTTTTTGATTGTTGCAACTTGAAGCCTTCCTTTCATGCTTGTTTGTTATCATCAAAATCGTTGAACCTTTATAATCTTTACGTAGAGTGCATTGGTTCCACAATAGATGGACATTCATTTATTACAATCATATTTATAAAATAATAATAAATAATTATTTTTTTGCATGGATTTGTGTCGTTAGTATTTAGAATTTTACAAATTCGTATTTACAAAAATTAAAATCAGATTTAAGAATTTAATTATAAAAGAAGAAGGATGAAATTTTAATTTAATTATAAAAATATGTTGGTGGGCCTAGCCCGTTTACCACCTCTAACTATTAGCATGTAATAAGTTTTTATTTTTATCCACAAAAAAGCTCTTATAGTTGCGTCTAGGTTTTAATATTTTATCTCAGAGATGAACTTTTAATCATTACAATTAGATTTACCAAATAATAATAAATAATTATTTTTTTTTGCAAGGATTTGTGTCGTTATATTTGAAATTTTATAAATTTGTATTTAAATCTAATTGTAATAAATGAAAGTTCATCTCTGAGATAAAATATAAAAATCTAGATGCAACTATAAGAGCTTTTTTTTAGGATAAATATAAAAACCTATTACATGCTAATCGTTAGAGGTGGAAAACTGGGCTCGACCCGGAGGGCTGGCCCACCAACATATTTTTATAATTAAATTAAAATTTCACTATTCTTTTTTTATAATTAAAATTTCACTATTCTTTTTTTCCCGTGCATCACACGAGTTATACTTAACTTTGAAGGAGTTTTTTTATGTAGGGTGCTGATTTGAAATATTATTCAAAATAACTTAACGTTCCTAATGAAAAATCCATGTTATTTAAAGTCAACGTAAAAAAAACAATTTGGAATCATATAATGAGCCAAGATATCATGTTCCGATTTGGGGTTCACTGTAACAAAGATAGATGTTTGGGGTTCAACGAAAAGCACCACGGAAACGATGTTGGTTGATTTAATATTCTTAAAATTATAATTTGGGATATATTATTCTAGCTGTCGATTTTTTTTCTGCTTACTTTTGTTACCACTCTTCAATATCATCAAATCAAAATCTCAATTATTTTTATTATTTCTCTCTCCAGAATCTGATTTTTTTTTGGTTGAATCTCCGTATTCTGATTTAATGATATTAGAGTGTGGTAGGTAAAAATATATAAAATAATATATCCCTTATAATTTTAATTCGGAAGATCCATTAAGGTTAGACACCTTGAATAATCAACAGCTAAAATGATCTTTAAGAATAATTCACAGTTAAATCATTTCTTTTAAAAAAAATTATTTCTTTTATTATTTTTTATCTGAGCGAAAATTTAAATAAAACAAAAAGTGATAGTTGAAAGTAAATACAAACAATCAGTGACTAAATAGAAAAATGAAAGTTGCATAATTTAAACGTTTTTATTCATATTATCTTTGAAAGTTAAACGTAGAGAGACAAGATTCACATTTGTACTCAACATCAATATCTTTTAAAATAATATAATTAGAGGTGTGCAAAATGTCCAAAAGAACCAAACAAATCCATAACCAAACTGCTCCACATTTTAAAAATTGATTATTTTTAAAATTTCATATAAACTGTATTTTATTTTATAAACTGCTCCGGTTCTTTATTGGGCCTGGAGCCCTCCATATATATCCCCCAAAAAAAAATCCAGTTCTTTAAGCTGTTTGACTTTGATATTTTCATTTCTTTTCTCTCTTTATTTTTGTTTAGCAGATATATTGTGGCTTGCTTATTTTATTTTTTATTTTTTATTTTTTATTTTTTTGTATAGAGAAAAAGAAAGATCCAGAGTGGACGCGGGAATACAATGGCATATTCTTTTTCCAGAGCTAATCAAATAAAATATCTTGTATTTGCTTATCTCTTGCTTCTTTTGAAATCGGAGGGAATAGTGGCAAACGATTCTAAGGATGTAGTGCTGTCTTTTTCTGGCTCTGCTCCTCAGATAAAGTATGATGTCTTTCTCAACTTTAGAGGTCCAGACATTCGTGAAGGTTTCCTTAGTCATTTGAATAAGACTTTATATCAAAAGCAGATTTTTCCCTTCGTAGATGACATGCTTCCCAAAGGGGGTGAAATATTGGAAGATCTTCTTGGAGCAATTGAAAGATCATTGATTTCATTGGTCATATTCTCACCAAACTATGCTTCTTCATCTTGGTGTTTGCTAGAGCTTGTGAAAATACTTGAGTGCAGAGCAAAATATGGACAGATTGTGCTACCTGTTTTCTTCAAAGTAGATCCCTCAGAAGTACGGCATCAAAAGGGGGCTTATGAAAATGCATTTTCTGAACATGAAGAAAAGCGTAGTTTAAATAAGGTGCAAACTTGGAGATCTGCTTTGAACGAAGCTGCTAATTTAGAAGGATTTCATGCTTCAAATTTTCGGTAAGTAATTTTTTGAATAAATGTTCCAGTATGTCCCCCCTATGTATGTATTTATTTCAATATTGCATATAAGGATATGACTGTCTACAAGAATTTCCTAAATCCTTACCCTAAAGTGGTTTTATGCATATTATCAAGCTTGTTCCTTAAACACTTTTATCTAGTTTTACATCCAAAGAAAGGAAAGGCCTGTTTAAAATAATAATATCATTTTTTTTTTTTGTGTGTGTGTGTGTGTGGGGGGGGGGGGGGGGGGGGGGTACGGTACAGAAATAATGTCATTTTTTCTTTTCTTGTTTCTTTTATAGGAAAGAAGCTGAGCTTGTTGGAGAAATAGTTAAATGGGTACAGAAGAGATTGAAACATGTGGACCAAGTTAACTCGAAAGGACTTGTTGGAATTGCCAAACCAATTTCACATGTAGAATCATTGTTACGGTTAGAGACAGAAATTTTTTGTATTATTGGAATTTGGGGTATGGGTGGAATAGGCAAAACAACAATTGCATAAGAGGTATATTACAGATTGCTTGCTGATTACGAAGGGTATTGTTTTCTGGCTAATGTAAGAGAAGAGTTGGGAAGACAGGGAATAATTGTTACAGATCAATAATGAAGCTATGCAAAGTTCCACACGTGTCATTACTTCACCCGTTTACTGATTAAGTCAGTTAGTTAGTTTACATAAAAGTTTGTTAGTTAGTTACAAGCTAGTGATATACATCTGTTAGTTAGTTACAAGCTACTGATATAAGTAGCTGTCATGTTGCCTTTAATTGTACTTTTGATATATTCATTCTTCCAATTTAATGAGATCGATTCTCTTCTTCATTCCTTCTCTTCCCTGCGATATGGATCTTTTCAGATCAAGATTACCATTGTAAGATGGTATCAGAGCAAGAGGCTCTGGTAACCAACCAAGTTTCCGCTACTGCAAACTCTGTATACCTTTCTTCTCTTTCTTCTTTTCTTGCTTAAGCCATTTTTTTTTTTCAATGGCTAATCTCCCAGATTTCCACACAAATCCCAGTAACCCTTTCTTTTTACATCCAAATGAAAGCCCTGCTTTAATCCTTGTTACACCACCTCTTGATCCCACAAATTATCACTCTTGGGCCAGATCAATGAGTATGGCTCTCCTATCCAAAAATAAACTTGGATTTATCGATGGAACAATTGTGAAACCAGCAAATATTGATCCTACTTTCCAAGCATGGGAAAGATGCAATATCATAGTACTTTCTTGGATTCATCGATCAATCAACAATTCTATAGCCAAGTCAATTCTTTGGATCAATCAAGCATGTGAAGCCTGGGCTGATCTCAAGGCTCGGTTCTCACATTCAGATATTTTTAGAATTTCTGATATCCAAAAACAAGTCTATCATATGCAGCAAGGTCAGTTTTCTGTTACTGATTATTTTACCAATATGAAGATCATGTGGGATGAGTTGGACAACTTGAAGCCTTTGCCAACATGTAGTTGTGCTTTGAGGTGTTCCTGCAATGGATACCCTTTGATGCGTGAGTATAGAGACTGTGATCGCACAGTGAGATTCTTGAAAGGACTTAATGATCAATATGGTCATGTAAGATCCCAAGTAATGATGATGAAGCCATTGCCAGATATCAATACTGTTTTTTCTTTAGTGGCTCAACAAGAAAGACAGATTCAATGTGAGTCAAATCCGAATCAACTTGGAAATGATCCAAGAATATTTCACAGTTCCACAAATAATCCAAGATTCCACAGTTCCACTGATAATCCAAGATTCCACAGCTCCACTGATAACCCAAGATTTCATAATTTTACTGATAATACTCACAGAGGAGTTTATGGCAGAGGAAGAGGACATGCAAACACCAACATATTTGGAAGAGGGCGTGGGAACAACACCAAATTATGCACTCACTGTGGGAGAACTAACCACACTGTTGATACTTGTTACAAAAAGCATGGATTCCCACCGAACTTCCAATCAAGGAATGCTGCAAATTTTTCTTCACAAGATGACAGTAATGAAGCTATGCAAAATCAAGAAGTTCAAGAAGCAAATGTGACCATATCTCAAGAGGAGTATGACAGTCTCTTGAATGCTTTCAATCATCAGAATTCCATAATGCCAGAAACACCAATTTCCTCAACCAATATGATTCAGACCACGGCTCTAAATGCAGACTCAACAGGTAACTCATCAGGCAGATGGCTTCTTGACACTGGAGCCACTGACCATATCAGTTTCATATTTTCTAATTTTTCTGAATTTAGAAAGATCAAGCCTATATTCATCTCTCTTCCTGATGGATCTCAATCCTTAGCCCAATTTTCAGGAACAGTACACATCTCTCATTCCCTTATTCTCTACAATGTTCTATATGTTCCTACTTTCAAAGTTAATCTCATTTCGGTCACAAAACTACTTCATGATCTCTCCTGTTATCTAACCTTCCATACTTCTTGTTGCATTATTAAACAGATACCATCGAATATGATGATTGGTTCAGCTGATGTAATTGATGGATTATATGTGTTAAAGACTCAATCATACAGACATCAGAGTACAAGCCAGAAAATTCCTCCCAATAGTTCCACTGCACCTGTTTCTCAATTTCCAGCAAATAAATCTGTTTCTAATGTATCTTCCAAAGATGATGCATCCATATGGCATCATAGATTAGGACATGTTTCTCATTCAATTTTAAAACAGATGTCAATAAAATTTCCTTGTATTTCTTGTAAAGATGTCTCACCTTGTGATATATGTCATCTTGCTAAGCAACATAATCTGCCTTATCCACATAGCATCAATGAAACCAAATCCACTTTTCAACTCTTACATGTTGATTTGTGGGGACCATATTCCCTGCCATCCATACATGGACATAAATATTTTTTAACAATTGTGGATGACTTCTCAAGATACACCTGGACTCTTCTCCTTAAAAACAAATTTGAAACTAGAAATAAACTCAAAGAGTTCATCATATTTGCTGAAAACCAATTTAACACAAATGTCAAATCCATTAGAAGTGATAATGGTCCTGAATTTGATATGACAGATTTCTATCACACTAAAGGCATTTTGCATCAAAAGAGTTGTGTTGAAAATCCTCAACAAAATGGCTTAGTTGAAAGAAAACATCAACACATTTTGAATGTTGCTAGAGCTCTTATTTTTCAATCCAAAGTTCCACTTCTCTTTTGGTCTTTTGCCATTACACACGCTGTTCATATCATTAACAGGTTGTCCTCTCCTTTGCTTCACCATGATACACCATACCAGAAATTACATGGAGAACCTCCCTCATTTCTACATCTCAAAGTCTTTGGCTGTTTAAGCTATGCAACAACTCTCAAAGCTCATCGCCTAAAATTCTCTCCTCGAGCCACCAAGGCTGTTTTCCTTGGATATCAGCAAGGAACAAAAGGTTATATTTTACTTGACATCAATAATCAAAAACTTTTTATATCCAGAAATGTTAATTTCTTTGAAAATCATTTTCCTTTTAAAACTCATAGCATTTCACATGACACTTCACAGCCTACCATTCATGATTTCCAGAATCTAGATTATTCTGACCCTATCCCTTCCTCTCCCTTTATCCAAACTATCCAAGATCACAATCTAGTCAATAATCCTGAAAATCCAATAGTCACACAGCAACCAAATGAGGCTGTCCATACACGACCACAAAGAAACAGATCACAACCATCTTACCTGCATGATTATCACTGTAATCTGCCAACTACAACTCTTGACCAATCTTCACATTCAGGTAATGCAACTTCATCCACCCATATTGCTTATCCCTTATCTGATGTACTTCAATATGATACTTGTTCTCCCAAATACAAAAGCTTTTGTCTTAGTGTCACAGCACAGGTTGAACCTAACACTTACACACAAGCTTCCAAACACGAATGCTGGCAGAAAGCAATGCTAAATGAAATAGCTGCTCTTGAACATAATCACACTTGGTCTCTTGTTGAATTGCCCCCTGGAAAACGGACGATTGGTTGCAAGTGGGTGTATAAAATTAAATACCTTGCAGATGGCAGCATAGAACGACATAAGGCTAGATTGGTAGCCAAGGGATACACCCAAACAGAGGGACTTGATTACCTAGATACTTTTAGTCCTGTTGCTAAGCTTACAACAGTCCGATTGCTTCTCTCAATTGCTGCAGCCATGGAATGGAACCTGGAACAATTGGATGTTAATAACGCCTTCCTTCATGGCGATTTAAATGAGGAAGTATACATGGATCTTCCCCCAGGTATTCACTGCTCTGATTCAAATAAAGTTTGTAAATTGGAAAAATCTTTATATGGGCTTAAGCAAGCTAGCAGACAATGGTACTCCAAGCTCTCCACAGCTTTAATTTCAATTGGATATGTCCAATCCTCTGCTGATTTCTCCCTGTTCACTCGTCAACATGAGTCACATTTCACAGCTCTCCTTGTGTATGTCGACGACATTGTCTTGACTGGTAACAGCATTGATGAAATCAAACGTGTGAAAGCCTTTCTTGATGATCGTTTCAAAATCAAAGATCTGGGCCAACTTCGATTTTTTCTGGGTTTGGAAGTTACTCGATCTTCACATGGGATTCTCTTAAACCAGAGAAAATACACTTTGGAGCTTCTCTCAGACACAGGTCTTACAGCAGCTAAACCAGCCTCCACACCCATGGATCCTTCATTGAAACTTCATCGAAAGCTTGGAGAACCTATTGCTGACATCTCTCTGTATCGTCGTCTTGTTGGTCGACTACTTTACCTGACCACCACACGACCAGACATCACCTTCGGCGTCCAACAACTCAGCCAGTTCCTTGCTGCACCCACTGATGCCCACCTCAATGCAGCCCATCGCATATTACGTTATTTGAAAAGCTCACCTGCCAAAGGTCTTTTCTTCCCAGCTTCTGCTAATCTTCAACTCACAGGGTTCGCAGATGCAGACTGGGCATGCTGCCCTGACACAAGGAGGTCCATTACAGGCTTTGCTGTCTTTCTTGGTTCGTCGCTCATTTCATGGCGTTCAAAGAAACAAACAACTGTATCCCGTTCTTCCACCGAAGCGGAATATCGTGCCTTAGCAGCCATTACATGTGAACTACAATGGTTATCTTACCTCCTTCAAGACCTTCATGTCCCTCAATCAAAACATGCTGCTGTATTTTGTGACAATAGATCTGCTATATATTTATCTCATAATCCGGTCTTTCATGAAAGATCGAAACATATTGAGTTAGATTGCCACATAACCAGAGAAAAGATTCAAGCTGGACTTCTACACCTTCTTCCCATTTCCTCAAAGGCTCAAGTTGCGGACACCTTCACCAAGGCTCTGCATCCTTCAGCTTTCAATCATCTATTGGAGAAACTTGGCCTACTAGACATTCACAGTCCAGCTTGTGGGGGGGTGTTACAGATCAATAATGAAGCTATGCAAAGTTCCACACGTGTCATTACTTCACCCGTTTACTGATTAAGTCAGTTAGTTAGTTTACATAAAAGTCTGTTAGTTAGTTACAAGCTAGTGATATACATCTGTTAGTTAGTTACAAGCTACTGATATAAGTAGCTGTCATGTTGCCTTTAATTGTACTTTTGATATATTCATTCTTCCAATTTAATGAGATCGATTCTCTTCTTCATTCCTTCTCTTCCCTGCGATATGGATCTTTTCAGATCAAGATTACCATTGTAAGAATAATCTCTCTAAAGACAAAGCTTTTTTCCACACTATTAGGGGAACAAGATTTGAAAATTGAAACCCCAAATGGATTGCCTCCTTATGTTGAGAAAAGGCTTCGTCGTATGAAGGTTCTGATTGTTCTTGATGATGTCAATGATTCGGAGCAACTAGAAAATTTACTTGGAACAAAGGACAGGTTTAAAAATGGTAGTAGAATCATCATAACTACTAGAGATAAGCAAGTGCTTGCTAACTGGGTTGATGATGATGATATATACAAGGTTGGGGCACTGGACTTTGATGAGTCTTTCCGGCTTTTCAATTTGAATGCCTTTGAGGATAATCAAATTGACAGAGAATACTATGAACTATCTAAGAGCATGGTCAAGTATGCCAAAGGCGTTCCAGTAGTTCTTAAAGTTTTGGGTCATCTTCTTCGTGGAAAAGATAAAGAAATATGGGAAAGCCAATCAAAAAGGCTCAAAAAAGTGCCCAATAAAAAGGTTCATGATGTTATTAAGATTAGCATTGATGATGATCTTGATCATGATGAGAAGAAGATATTTTTGGACAATGCATGTTTTTTCGATGGATTGAATTTGAATGTTGACAAAATAAAACTTCTATTAAAAGATCGTGATTATTTTGTTGCTGCTGCGTTAGAAAAGTTAAAAGATAAAGCTCTTATAACTATTTCTCAAGAGAATATTGTATCCATGCATAACATTATACAAGAAACCGCTTGGGAGATGGTTCGCCAAGAATCTGTTGAAGACCCCGGACACCGAAGTCGACTGTTGGATACTGATGACATTTATCAAGTACTGAAAAATAACAAGGTAAAATCCCTAAGTTACAAAAATGTATCTTATTTTTTGTATGAAAAGTGAGTTATAAGATGTTTGAAAATTTTCTACTATTTTGGTGGCAGGGGAGTGAGGCCATTAGAAGCATAGTCCTCAACTCTTCGAAGATTAAGGAGCTGCAGTTAAGCCCTCAAGTATTTGCTAAGATGAACAAACTACAATTTCTTGATTTGTATTGTAATTGGCCATATAATGTGTTGTATCTTCCTCAAGGGCTTGAATCTTTGCCAAATGAACTAAGATATCTTCGGTGGGCTTGCTACCCTTTGGAATCCTTGCCATCCAAGTTTTCTGCGGAAAATCTTGTTGAATTGAACTTGCCCTACAGCCGAGTGAAAAAACTTTGGCACCAAGTGCAGGTAAATATTACGTGTGCATTTGCATTCTAAGGAATACAAATAAACTACTTCCATTAGCTCATGCTTTTGTTTAATTTGTTACAGGAACTTGAGAATTTAAACACCCTCGTACTGCACTCATCCACAAGCCTGGTGGAACTGCCAGACTTTTCAAAGGCCACAAATCTTAAAGTCATAGATCTCCGTTTTTGTCTAGAGCTGACTAGTGTGCATCCATCTGTTTTCGCTATCAACAAGCTTGAGAAATTGGATCTAGGTGGATGCATCTCCCTTTCCACCCTTGGAAGCAAAATCCATCTGAGCTCCCTTCGTTTTCTCTCCCTCAATGGCACGGGTATCGAACAACTACCCTCATCTATTGGACTTCAAAGCAAACTTGAAAAGCTAAATCTAGCATACACTTACATTGAGAACTTGCCTGCAAGCATCAAGCATCTTACAAAGCTTCGACATCTAGATATTCAGCACTGTAGGGAGCTTCCGACTATACCAAAGCTTCCCCCATCACTTGAAATACTAGATGCCAGTGGCTGCATATCACTGGAGAGTGTGTTGTTCCCTTCAACCACTAGTGAACAACTGAATGAAAACAAGAAAAGGGTAGCCTTCTGGAATTGCTTGAAATTGGATGAACATTCTCTCAAGGCTATTGAGCTGAATGCGCAAGTTAACATGATGAAATTTGCATTCCAACATTTATCCACATTTGGTCGTGATTATGATGCTCAAATCACTGATGTGTATCGGGGAAGCAGAGTTTTGTTGTATGAGAACACAACATTTGACTTCCTACCCATTGAACACCCTGTCAGAGCTTTCAGGCTGAATGCCCTTGCACGCCAACATTTATCCACAATTGGTCGCAGTGATGATGCTCAAAGCACTTATGTGTATCCGGGAAGCAAAGTTCCAGAGTGGCTGGTGTATGGGACAACACAAGACTCCCTAACTATTGATCTCTCTTTTGGTCCGCATTCCCCTGAGATGGGATTCATTTTTTGCTTCATAGTTCCGCAGGTTCAATCAGAGGGTTTGTTTTTGAAATTTAAGATCAGTGTTGGTGAAGATGAAGGTAACACTGTGTACCTGGACAGACCGCATCACAGAATTATATCGGATCATGTGTATCTAATGTATGACCAAGGATGTTCCAGCTACCTGAATAGCCAAGCCAAACATCAGCCAAGGTTTAAAATCAAGGTTACAACAGCATCACGAACACTGACATCACAGTACGTGCCATTGCTGTTAGGAGGGTTTGGGGTCAGCCCAATAGATTCCTCACAATATCTGTTTCCTTCAACAAATATTTGAATGATAGGACTATTCCAACAGTACGTGCCGTTAAGGTTCACTCTCTTTCTCTCTCTCTATCTGCTACTACTTGGTCTTCACTGCTTAGCTTTCACTGAGACTGGTTTCTTAATTTTTTTCAGTACCAATTTTTACTGATATCATGATGGTGAATTCTAGGAGTAGTTCACGAGATTGCTTTGTTACGGGTCCATTGAATTGGGGAACTGTTTGTAAGATATATATTGTTATTCATTATGTACGATTATCTATCATTGGAAATGTGCAGAAAGTTCTTTTTTTCCTCTTCTTTATCGTTGCAATGTAATGCCTAGTCATCATTGTTCCCTTTAATTTTTTTGTACCTCTTGCTTTCAAATCGTTGTTATCAAATATTTCTCCTCCCTTCCCCTCTCTATAGAGTAAAATGAAGAATTTTGGAAAGTAAACTAAATGCAAGTTATATGATAGAGACTTATTGTAGCAGAGTTGGTCTTCACTCTACTTGGTCTTTACTATTTATCTTTCCCCGTGGAGTTTTTGAGCTAAATTTTTTATGTAATCACCAAACAGTTTTTAACCTTTTTTTTTAGTTCTTTTTTTAGCTTTAGCTTAAAAGTAGCTTTTATCTTAAAAAATATGATCCAAACAAGTTCTTAATATAAGAATCATGTATGCACGGTATATCATTTGAAACATAACCAATAGCACATGATACGTACCTCCAGAACCTCAAATAATAAGAAAATCCACATACAGGTAATACAAGCTGTTATTATTTATAAATACCATTTTTCCAACATCGATACTGTTGTCATATTCATATGCTCATAAGGCTAAGGTGCTTACTTTAAATTTTCCGTTCTGTTTGGCCAACTCAAAGACTCAATTTGGCAAGTGTAAATTCTGGTTGAGTTTATAATTTAAAGAAAACACAACATTCTTGTATCTTTTTAGCATTATAGGCCCTTGAAAGTGTGTCTTACCTTGGATAAGTGTGTATGATCTGAAGTTTAGGATGGAATAGATTCCCTATACATCCGAATCGATTCCTATTATTTCCAGTCAGCAAGGAATCGATTCCCTCAGTAATCAGAGGCACTTCAAGCACGAATTCAAGGGTCTTTCGTGCATAACTCTTTTCATCCACTGGTTTACTTCAATTCATTACCAATTTCTACATACACAACCACATATTCTTTCATATTTCACACTTTTGACCAACTTCCATTGCATGTAATCAACATTTGCATGTATGAATGCAAATTATTCCAGGAATGTTAACTATGAAAGAAGGGGGTTTTAGTCACACAAATTCACCACCACAGAAACATGCTTATTTAAGAATTTAAATGGGGTGTTTTGAGCTCCCAAAAGTTACCTCAAACTCTACAAATGCTAAGCTTGTGTACTGAATCGCAACCACACCTTCACCTTCCTTAGACAGCTTCTGTCATATAAATCTCAGCTTCTACTTGAAAGGTGAAAAGAGAAACGAATTTTATTTGTTTGAAAGGTGAAGAAACAGAGAAAAGAGGGAGAGTTTTTTGAGGTGGAAAGATTTGCTTAAAAGAGTTTTATTTGTTTTGGAGTCATTATTATGTAAATAATTTAAGCGAATAAGGTTATTATGTTGTAAGAAATAATTTTATCTATTAATCAGACATCAAAATATGTAGATCCACATTTTTTTTATTTAATTTTTTGATATATGAAAAAAGACTAAAATACACATCACCTAACAGTCTAACACAATTATCTACACCTCTTATAATTAGGCTAATCTTAGAAAGATAAAAGAAATACTAATATTATAATTTAATAGTACTTTATGAATTTGGAATGTTAAATTGAATTAAATAAATCATTCAATTATGGGATGTCACAACTCACAACCCTTCCATTTTCCAACGCTTTGTAATTCTTATCCACTACGGTATCTATCTATACAAAGTTGAGGCACTGGACTTTGATGAGTCTTTCCGGCTTTTCAAGTTGAATGCCTTTGAACATAATCATATTGACATAGAATACTATGAACTGTCTAAGAGCATGGTCGATTATGCCAAAGGCGTTCCAGTAGTTCTTAAAGTCTTGGGTCATCTTCTTCGTGGAAAAGATAAAGAAATATGGGAAAGCCAATCAAAAAGGCTCAAAAAAGTGCCCAATAAAAAGGTTCATGATGTTATTAAGATTAGCATTGATGAGGATCTTGATCATGATGAGAAGAAGATATTTTTGGATATTGCATGTTTTTTCGATGGATTGAATTTGAATGTTGACAAAATAAAACTTCTATTAAAGGATCGTGATTATTCTGTTGCTGCTGCGTTAGAAAGGTTAAAAGATAAAGCTCTTATAACTATTTCTCAAAAGAATATTGTATCCATGCATAACATTATACAAGAAACAGCTTGGGAGATGGTTCGCCAAGAATCTATTGAAGACCCCGGACACCGAAGTCGACTGTTGGATACTGATGACATTTATCAAGTACTGAAAAATAACAAGGTAAAATCCCTAAGTTACAAAAATGTATCTTATTTTTTGTAGGAACAGCGAGTTATAAGATGTTTGAAAATTTTCTACTACTTTGGTGGCAGGGGAGTGAGGCCATCAGAAGCATAGTCCTCAACTCGTCGATGATTAAGGAGCTGCAGTTAAGCCCTCAAGTATTTGCTAAGATGAGCAAACTACAATTTCTTGATTTGTATTGTGATTGGCCTTATAAAGTGTTGTATCTTCCTCAAGGGCTTGAATCTTTGCCAAATGAACTACGATATCTTCGGTGGGCTTCCTACCCTTTGGAATCCTTGCCATCCAAGTTTTCTGCGGAAAATCTTGTTGAATTGAACTTGCCCTACAGCCGAGTGAAAAAACTTTGGCACCAAGTGCAGGTAAATAATACATGTGTGCATTTGCATTCTAAGGAATACAAATAAACAACTTCCATTAGCTCATGCTTTTGTTTAATTTGTTACAGGAACTTGAGAATTTAAACACCCTCGTACTGCATTCATCCACAAGCCTGCTGGAACTGCCAGACTTTTCAAAGGCCACAAATCTTAAAGTCATAGATCTCCGTTTTTGTCTAGAGCTGACTAGTGTGCATCCATCCGTTTTCTCTCTCAACAAGCTTGAGAAATTGGATCTAGGTGGATGCATTTCCCTTTCAACCCTTGGAAGCAATATCCATCTGAGCTCCCTTCGTTTTCTCTCCCTCAATGGCACGGGTATCAAACAACTACCCTCCTCTATTGAACTTCAAAGCAAACTTCAAAAGCTAAATCTAGCATGCACTTACATTGAGAACTTGCCTACAAGCATCAAGCATCTTACAAAGCTTCGACATCTAGATATTCGCCACTGTAGCGAGCTTCCGACTATACCTGAGCTTCCCCCATCACTTGAAATACTAGATGCCAGTGGCTGCATATCACTGGAGAGTGTGTTGTTCCCTTCAACCACTAGTGAACAACTGAATGAAAACAAGAAAAGGGTAGCCTTCTGGAATTGCTTGAAATTGGATGAACATTCTCTCAGGGCTATTGAGCTGAATGCGCAAGTTAACATGATGAAATTTGCATTCCAACATTTATCCACATTTGGTCGTGATTATGATGCTCAAATCACTAATGTGTATCAGGGAAGCAGAGTTTTGTTGTATGGGAACACAACACGTGACTTCCTATGCATCGATTTCTGTTTTACTCCGCAGTCCCTTCAGTTGAGCTACATTTTGGATGAACACCCTGTCAGTGCTATCAGGCTGAATGCCCTTGCACACCAACATTTATCCACAATTGGTCGCAGTAATGCTGCTCAAAGCACTTATGTGTATCCGGGAAGCAAAGTTCCAGAGTGGCTGGTGTATGGGACAACACAAGACTCCCTAACTATTGATCTCTCTTTTGGTCCGCAGTCCCCTGAGATGGGCTTCATTTTTTGCTTCGTAGTTCCGCAGGTTCAATCAGAGGGTTTGTTTTTTAAATTTAAGATCAGTGTTGGTGAAGATGAAGGTAACACTGTGTACCTGGACAGACCACGTCATGGAATTATATCGGATCATGTGTATCTAATGTATGACCAAGGATGTTCCAGCTACCTGAATAGCCAAGCCAAACATCAGCCAAGGTTTAAAATCAAGGTTACAGCAGCATCGCGAACACTGACATCACAGTACGTGCCATTGCTGTTAAGAGGGTTTGGGGTCAGCCCAGTAGATGCCTCACAATATCTCAGTTTTCTTCAACAAATATTTGAATGATAGTGTTGAGATATATAGTCCCACATTAATTGTGTGAGCAACTAATGTGGCCTTTATAAGGCCTTGGACACTTAACCCTTTGAGCTAGCTTTTGGAG